TCTTTTTGTTGCTCATCGAAGAGTGTCCTGATTGACACTTCAGCATCATCATCGAAGAAATGAGTGAGGAACATGCTCTCCAGGTCCTCCCAGCTGTTGATGCTTCCAAATTTAAGACGCCGATACCAATCGAAGGCAGGCCCGCGAAGGGTGCCGACGAATGACCGAACCATCAAGACTTCATTGCCGGAGATCATGCCCAAGTGGGACTTGAAGTAGATTAGATGCTGAGTGGGCGAATCCTTCCCGTCGAACAGCGTGAAGTTGATCAGGTTGAAATTCGCTGGATACGGGATCGAGTCCCACTCTTTCGGGTAAGGACACGGAATGGCGGTCTTCTTTACCTCTTGAGCAGACATTAAAGCATTAATTTTGCTCTCCAAGTCCTTCATCTTCTTATCTTCACTCGTATCCGTCTTCGAGTGGCTTCGGGGAGAGGTAACGTGGTCCTCCTTCGCATTATCATTCAAGGGACCGCCTCCGTTACTATTGTTAACAGGATTGACATTATCTTCTTCCCGTTCATTCTCATCTTGATTCGGATTATTGCGACGATTGGGTTCTCCTTGGTGAGTTGTCAGTGTCACGATTTGCTGGTCATGCATTTCCCTCATCTGCTGCATAGCCAGATCCATCTCGAACTTGAAGCTTTCTTTCTGCTTAGCCAGGGCCTCTTCAAGCATCTTGGTTACTTGTTCGGCGCTGATCATAAATGACTCGTAGGGTTGTCCCGCACTCGATGCCGTGTCATCGGACGCTATAGCCGAGCAAGAATCTGAACCAGCATCTAATACCTCCTCTTCCAAAGGAAGTCCTTTTTGCATCTTTTGGTAATTCTTTCGCTTATTGATCCCTGACCGCAACCGAGTCATACGCCGGGATACATCGGCAAACTGATCTGGGTTTAAGTGTTGCGTCGATTTCCTTCTGCCGGTCATATTGACGGACACTTCTGGAAATTCATCATCTTGGCGAATGGGTTTCCTCCTTTGGAAATGCCTTGGTTTGGCCTCGGACGCCCTGGTAGAGATTCTCTCAAACACCGAGACTCTTTTTGGGGTTTTAGAACAGCAGCATTCTGATAATACTGCTTTGATTATGTTGGCACACGGACAATGAGGCTCCGTGTCTCGAACATTTCTTTTTCAGGATTTATTCGCACCCCCAGCCCTATAGTACAGCTCATCAGTTTGATATCTGAAGCAACCCATAAAGTATTGGCACGCCTTCCCAGGTGTAACATCGTCATCAGACAAATATGTTTCCCTCTGGGGACGCGACGCTTTATTTGCGTCTCCAAGAGTCACTCGTTCACTTTTACGCCTTTGAGAGCGTGAAAGTCCAACGGGCTCTTGAACTTCGACTCGCAATCCAATGCGGTCGGTAATAGGGGCTTTCCCTTTGTTAGTACGACCCCCAGTCTTGACTGTTGTTTGGGGACTTTTCAACGGTCCCAATCGCTCCTTGACGGGTGCTTTACCTCGATCTTCAGGATCGAGGCGACCCTTCAAAGGACCCCTGGATTTAGTGAGATCCACGTTCTTTCCTGACTCCGTCGGAGGTGCGGGTACAGGGGAAACGAGATCTGGATTTGAAATAGGCTGGACGATAACTCCGCCCACTTTTGCCTTAAGTGCTGGTTTTGTCTTTGGCACCCAAACTTGCTTGCGCTTAGGCGGCTTCTCCACTGCTTCTCCCCTCTGCATTTCTTTCGCTTTCTGCAAAAGGGCTCGGGCATGTGCGAGCAATGCTCGACGCTTCTTGATTCGCTCCTCGAGGGTGGAGCGGGTCCTCTTGACACGAACCCATTCGTTCGTTTTTGTCTTGGAGGAGGAGTTGGTTGTTCGCCGTTGTTGTTCCCGGCGCTGCCTGGATTTTAGATCCACATTATAGCGGATCCCGTCCATCGGCTCCAAAGCCTTGGCCAGCTGACGAGCAAGGCGTTGACGCCGTCTTTGGCGTGCTCTCTTTGACAATGCTGGAGCGTCTTCAGTAGCCATCTTCTCGGCGGAGGAGAAGTCCGGATCTGCGGTCTCGACCACGTTGGACGACGCAGGCTGAAGAATGTGGATGTTGGCCTATGCGAGGATTGCATCTTTGGCAAACAGAAGAAAGTCAGTTTTGCAAAGATTGGCAAGACACCCAAGGCAGAAAAGTTAGAGTTGGTTCATACCGACGTATGGGGGCCATCTCCAGTTTCATCTCTTGTAGGTTCACTGTACTATTGTTTTCGGAAAAAGTTGCCTTCATCATTGATTTCATTAGAACTTCAAACGTTTACAAATGAATTCAAATAACGAAAATAAAAATTACAACTTTCTTGAAAATAAACACAAGATCCGTTTATCGTCTCTTGCTTGCGTGGGTCTTTAGCCTGTGACGGGGACGTCGATATCCGTGGACTACCTGGCAATCAGATCTGATCCAGAAAAATCGGGCAGAGCTTCGTCGATCCGCGAGGAGATCTAGAAACTTGAAGCGCCTATCTCGGATAAAGCGAGATATTTGCTCTTCTTAGGATTACCGACGAGGGGTAATGCTAAGGAACGGATGCGGGTGAGGGAGATCTGATGAAGAACTCTCTTGTGTTGAAGTGCTCGATCACTCTTCACTCCAGCAGGGCTTCGCCAATTCTCCAAAAATCCAGATCCTCAAAAAGTGAGGCCTAAGGTTCCTATTTATAGGCATGAGGGCACATAGGGCGTTGGGACACCCCTGGGGTGTTTCGACTTTCCCGAGACACCCCAGGTGTCCCAGTTCAGCCTGAGACGCTCCGTTGCGTATGTTTGATTGTTTCTGCCGTAAATTCTTCGTCCGAACTCGGATTTGAGTGATTCCAAGTGCATTGGAAGCTTGACGAAGAGTTCTATCCGCTCCGATGGTTGGATTATCTGTAGAGTGAACGAGATATGAAGGGCGTTGCTCTTTTTGTGAACATCGCAGGGTTCCCGATTGGCCTGTGCCTTCGTTATTCCGAAATTCTATCAGCTCACGTAGTTCGTCGATTCACTTCAATCGTTCATCGACGTCAATCGAACTCCTGTGGATCGGATAGTGACGTTCATCGTCGCTCTTTAACACTGAACTGTTCGTGGAGACCTATAGACAATTTTCGATGCCTACAGGAAAGTTATCCCAAAAATTCCTGGGAGAGTGTGAAAGGGGCCAAACCACATTTTTGGGAGTTTTTGGGGTTAAAGTACATGGGAAAAACTATAAGAGGCTGTGTCACAACAATATTTTTTGGGGGGCCTGGATACATTTTTCCTTTATTTTTTAGGTTTAGGTTGTTTGCACTTAAATGCTCTAAAGTTTACCAAAGTCTTAACTTTGATCCCCAAAAGTTTATCTTACTCTTGGCTTTTGATACATGCAAAGTTTTTTCCCCTAAAAAATATCCTTAAAAAAGGAAACTTTTATATTGCAAAGTTTTTTTAAAACTCAAACAAATACCCCAAAGTTTGATGTGATGCCTGGTCATTCCAGCCTCATGTGAGGATCATTTTGTTGAAAAAAAAAACCTTAAAATTTAAACAAAAAAACTAACTTTGATGCTCCAAATTAAAATTTTGTAAATTTTATGTTAACGTTTGGAATACCAAAGTTAAAAAATTTAAAAAAACGGGATGCAGCTCTATTGATTTTTTGAGTGCTTTTTGAGCGAAAGAAAATCTTGGTGTATCAAAGTTAAAATGAAGTACACCTTCGGGTATTTTTCAAATTTTTTTTGGGTTATCAATGTAAAAAGTAAAGTAATTTTAAGTTATTTTAGTACAATTAATGTTAAGCTACAACGTTCTAAATACCATATCGTTTCTCCCGTTATGCACTTATATATCTTCATTTTGTTTTTTGTAGCAATTCTATACACTAGTTGTTTAACATAGACATGTTAGTTTTTTTATGTAAATGTGAAAATTTCCTTTCAAATATTCTTGCGTGATACTCAACTAATAACTATATATTTTTCTATTTTGCTGATTTCACTTTTGAACATATTTTAATTTTATTTTAAAATAAAACTAAAAAAATGTAAAATATTTTGTATTGAGATACTCTCAAATTAGATGGTAATTAGAAAGTCTCCAATTACTCCAATCATTACAGTACACTCTTGAACTCAATGGGCAAGATTGGACCATGTAGGATTTCACTAATGTAATAGTGGCTTTCAAAAAATAGTAGTTTAAGAAAAACAGTGGTTTTAAAGCATCTCCAACAGCTTCACCATAAATTTCTCTAAAATGAGAAACAAAATGCCAAATTCTCTAAAATTGTTTTGCTCCAAATCCAACAGCTTCCCCATTTTAGGGATTTAGGCATTTATTACAACTATAAAACATCCTACATACTCAATAATTATTAAGAAAATAAATGTTTGATATTTTATTATAACAATATAAAACTCAATAAAGTATTAGATATATATTTTTTCTTCTTTGAAGAATGTGAGATATTTATGATAATGTTAATTTCAAGAATTTAGAGAATGAAGAATTTTTGCAGAATGCTACAGATTTGGGGAAAAACCCTCTTTTTTTCTTCTCCATTCCCATTTTAGGGAATGAGATGGAGAAACTGTTGGACCTAAAAATAGCTCTATATTCCCCAAAATTAAGTATTTTAAAAAGATGAAGAAGCTGTTGGAAATGCTCTTAAAGATCATGATGGTTTGCCGTACCGACCATAGATTTACAAAATTTTAACACCTTATTCATTTTATTTTATTTTCACTTTTTTCTCAAAAGAAAAAGAGGAGAAAATTCCTAGGCCGTCTGTCCTCTTGCTTAATTAGCAATATAAACGAAAGAGGAGTTGTCCTTGAATTTAGCTCCTTTATTATTATTATCATTATTTTACTAAATAAAATGAGAAAAGTTATGGGCCGACTAGATTAATAGTACTCATTTTCATCCACGCGCGAAATTTTTCTTTTTTCCCCACCAAAAAGCTTCGACCTTTATTATGAAGAATTTTAAGGGAAAATTCATTCTTTTGTATACTTCATCTCTCATTTACATATTCCAAAGATTATTACTTGTATTATTTGAGACCTTTGGCGTAATATAAAGAGAGATTTGAGGTCTGTCAACGGAGGAAATCATAAATCTGCTTTTTTGGCGAATTCCCTCACAGGATGCAGCAAGGTTTTTTTTTTGTTGCAATTAATTTGTCTTTTTTAGTTCCCTTTGGGGATTAGATCCCTATGACTAATTATGCAATTTAATGAATTTGTTCTTCCAATGAAATCTGCATTCTGTGAAGTTGGTGTTCCATGCTTGTAAACAAATTATGTCAAATAATCGTAATTATCCTGTTAAATTATCTTTCCTTATCCATGTACACATGTTTGAGATTTTGAGAATGTGATACTTCTAACAGCAAATAGGGATTTTTCTTATACACAATTTTGCATATTTTGCGTCTGTATTTGAGGAGAGAATCATACCTGGCATATGTGAAATTAGGAAACTTTGATAAATGTTTTAGTAACTTTGCAATTTATAGGAGCTATATTTGACTACAGTGTTTAAAATGAAGCTTCGATTTATACTTCTACAAGATTAGGAGAGTTCAGAAACTTCACCTGTTGGATCTTCAAACAGCTTGTCTGAAAATGGCTGGAACCACCAGAAATTTCACCAGAGAGTGCATTGACAGTTCCCGATTCTTATCTCCGTTATCGTCTGCCTTCTCCGAACTGGTATTGATCGTTCTACTATACATTCATGCCCTGCTATCCTACTTGGTACATAAGTTTGCTTGCCACCGCAAATTGCCACCCCCGTGTATTTTATGTTCAAAGTTTGATAGGAGGAGACCAGACTTCTATAGAGGCCTATTTTGTAATGCTCATCAGCTAGAGATTTCATCATTAACATACTGTCGTGTTCACCAAAGGCTCGCTGATGGCCATGACATGTGTAAAGCCTGCCTTCTTTCATTTGTGGGCAAAGTTAAAGGGACAAATATTGGCTTAGGTGCCAATAAGTTGAAGAAGTTTTGTTCATGTTGTTCAGTGTCAATTAAGAATAGGTCTAAAGCAATTTATAATGGAGGTGATAGTCGTTTTGACCGACTGTCTAAAATCGGGCGCAATGAGCTAAAGTCTGAAATGGAGACGGAAGTTCCTTTCTCTGGAGTTGGTGATGTTAAGGAAGATTTATTGTCTAGATGTTTAGAAGCAGCACCCATGGCCAGTGTACAAGAGAAGCTGATACAAACTCCTTCGGTCATGCCTAATATTTCGATTTCTGTTCCTGAAAGGAAAATTCAAGCAGATGTTTCTCATGGTCTGGAGGAAACTATTTGGAATCAGGTTGAAGTGAAACCTAATATTTCTGTATCGTCTGATATTGTGATCGAACAAGTCCCTGCAGAAGCTTTGATCACAAAATGTAAGCTCCCGTTAAATTAGTTATTTTAGTTCTTTGCAGATCACCCTTGTGTATAATTTTTATTGCGTGAAGTGGGATGTTGCCAGAGCAATATTAAACATTGGGTATAGCAAATGTCTATTGAAATGTCAAAAATAGATTGTTTTCTTTGAAACATTCTATTATTGTTTTCATCAACTATGATCCAATGTACGGGAATTACTCTATTTTCATTTTAACTTGTTTCCTCCTTGAAGTAGAGCTCCTAGACGAAAAGGTTGTAAGTTAATAATGATCAATACTCTTCATTAGATACATATATACCTTAAATTTTTGTCATGCTTGCGAATCAGCAATCTGATTTTAGAAATATAATGGAAACTTGACCTCTAAATTTCATTTCATGAAACTAACTTGAAAAGTGATTGTAGCATTCATATTTGCCCTAACATAACACTTCGCTAATGTATGCTGATAGGAACTGGTTTCGCTCTATTTTTCTAGATGTCCAGTTACAGTTACAAACATGCTGCTGTTATTTGTGATTATTGATAAAGCATGCACTTATGCTTCAATTAACTTTTTGGAAATCTTTATTGCAGTTGATGTTCCAGATTCAAACGGAGACTCTGTCAAAGCCTCGAATTCATCTGACATCGCATCGAGAACAAGCCAAATAATGAATGAAAGGCTTTCCTCCATTAAGGCCCCTCTGCCATCTCCGGCGTCCTGCGATTTACTTGCTGCCAGAGAATCTTCAATAGTTCCTGAAGATATTAAATCGCGACTCTCGCAGATATCTAGTTCCCGATGGCTTGATTTCCCCTGGAATGATAATTTCACTCCCAAAGCAAATGGACAAGGCGATGAATCCAAATTATCTGATGCTAAGAGATCCTCAGTTGATAGAAATGAATCAGTTGTAGAGTATTTAGATGGAAGCTTCATAAGTGAAATCGAAGGAGAAAGTTTGGAAGATCGTCTCAAGAGACAAATTGAACAGGACAGAAAATTAATGAGCGTTCTTTACAGAGAGTTAGAGGAAGAAAGAAATGCTTCAGAGATTTCTGCGAACGAAGCAATGTCAATGATTAATAGATTGCAGGAGGAGAAGGCGACTATACAAATGGAAGCATTGCAGTATCTAAGGATGATGGAAGAACAAACTGAGTACGATCAAGAGGCTCTTCAAAAGTTAAATGAGCTTCTAGATGAGAGGGATAAAGATATAATAGATCTTGCTTCGATGGTTGAGAGCTATAGGAAGCAGTTTGGTGGCAAACCATTGATGAGCAGAGATTCAGAAGAGCAATTTGATTGTGAAGAAAAGGAAAACACTGAAAATTCTGTTAGCACGCCGTGTTTCATGAGACCTGGAGGCTGTGAGAATGGAAAAACTCTGATGAGAAACACAGTGTTAGATTTTGAAGATGAGAAGGTTCATATATCAGAATGCTTGAAAAAATTGGAGAGAAAGCTTAAACTAGTTTCTAGTAGTGGAGCATTTGCTGCTGAGTCTGAGCTTTACAGAGAACCGATTTTGGAGGAAGATGATGAGGGTGATGATGATCATAAACTCCTCCAACAGCACTGTTGATAATAGTGTATTGTAGTGGGTTTTAGTCCCACATTGCTTGGGAGAACAAACCTCACACTCCTCTACTTGTATAAATATATGTGCACACTCAATATTCAATTCAAGGGAAATTTACCCAAGATTCTCTCTCTCTCTCTTACTTTAACATGGTATCAGAGCTAGGGCTATTTCCCTTTCAATAAAATTTTTAACGCTTTTGCGTTCTTTTGCCAAATCTTGGCCTTATTGCTTTGCAGCCGTTTAATGTTTTATTTTTTTTATTTTTATTTTTAATTATTTGGCGTTCATCTGCCAGATATTTTGGCCTTGTCGTTTTGCGGCCTCTTAACGCGTTTCGCGTTCTCGTTTAACCTTCGGGTTCTATTTTAAACCTTCGGGTTTCATTCTAACCTTCGGGTTCTATTTTAAACCTTCGGGTTTCATTCTAACCTTCGGGTTCTATTTTAACGGCATTGTCGTTTCAAGACCGTCTCTCGGTCTCAAATTAACGGCATCGTCGTTTCAAGCCGTCTCTCGGCCTCAAACGAACGACATTAGTAACAGCATCTCGACATCTTAACGTCTCAAGATTGCTGTTATGGCTCCTTCAGAGAAGATTCCCAAACCACCTTTGCCCCTCAATGATCAAAGTGACTGGGCAGGGTGGTCCACCATTGTCACCAATGCCTTGCGTGGCGCTGGTTTGCTTGATCATCTCACCAGTACGGGACCAGTTCCACCGTCCATCAGCACTGTTGCTTCATCCAGTACTATTGCCTCTGGCAGTGGTGATGTCGATCTTCAGACTGCTCGTGCTCTCTATGTCAAGGAGAGTTCAGAGTGGCAATTGCAGGAATTTCGTGTTATGGATTATCTCACTCGCTGTGTTGGCTCTGGTCTCACTGTCGAGATTGGCTCGCTTCCCTCTGCTCAGGCCATGTGGACTCGTCTCACTGAGCGTTTCACTGAGTGCTCGGGTGCACGGGAGGCATATCTTCTGCAACGCATTTCTCTACAACGCAAAGGTAGTTCATCTCTGCAGTCCCATTTTGGACAAATGCAAGCTTTTTGGACAGAGTTACGCTCCATGCTTCCTGGACGTAATTCCACATATGAAGACTGGCTAGCCTGGTACGAACGGCATGAGGTGCATCAATTGTTTCAGTCCCTTCCTGAATATTCAACTATGGCTGATCAACTACTTCACCAGCCTCAATTTCCGACTTTGGCCTCAGTTATGGGAGCTCTCACTGCTTATGAGACCCGGCAGCAGACAGCACGACTCAATTTGTCAACAGACACTCCTACCTCTTCACTCGAGACTGTTTTGTCTGTACCTGTCACTGCTCCTGTTATGAATTATACTTCTCCACAGGCTCCCTCTCCACAGGCTCGATCTAAGCTCTCTTGCAAATATTGTAAGAAGGAAGGACACCGCATTGAGACATGCTTCAAGCTTCATCCTGAGTTACGTTCCTCAGGTACTGGACGTGGTCGGCGACCCCCTCAGTCTCAACCCTCTCGTACACCAGGATTGTTGGCCAATGCTATACCTTCTACTACTTCAGACTCTACTATTCAAGCTATTGAAAGTCTTCGCCGTCAACTTGATGCTTTTCAACATATCACCTCTACATCCGCCGCACAACTCTCTGGTATGCATTTTGCTGGTTCTTCAGCTAATCCTTCAGTCTCTGGTATGAATGATCTCTGGATTTTTGACTCTGGTTGTTCCTTTCATATGACTTGTAATGCCTCACTTTTATCCTCTGTCTTTACTTCATCCTCTCTTCCTCCTATCTACACAGCTGCTGGACAACCATTGTCCATTACTCAGTATGGCTCTATTACCCCACAAAATGATCCATCTGGTCGTCTAACACTTGGTCCCGTCTATGTGGCTCCACAATTGTGCTTGAATTTAATTTCTATTAGCTCTTTATGCATGGCGGGCCTGTTTGTCTCATTTTCTTCTGATACTTGTATTGTGCAGGATCCACAGACGGGCAAGACGGTTGGGGCGGGTCGTAGGAGGCACAAACTGTATTTTCTGGAATATCTTCACCTTCCAGAGTCCATACGTCCACGTTCTCTTGTTGCTTCTCTTTGTTCGTCAAAACCCTCTACCTCGCTTCCTGCCAATTTATGGCATAGACGACTTGGTCATGTGTGTAATAAAAGGCTGGAGAGTCTTATTCAGTCTGGAGTACTTGGTCCTGTATCATCTAGTTCTAGTATTGAGTCATGTGCTGGTTGCAAATTGGCTAAATTCACTGCTTTACCATTTAAAATGAGTACATCTGTATCCACTTCCTTATTTGATTTAGTACATTCTGATATTTGGGGGCCAGCTCCTTTGCCTTCTTCATCTGGCTACTTATATTATGTTAGTTTTATCGACGATTTCTCTCGTTTTACATGGGTTTACCTACTTAAGAATCGCTCTGACGTACTTACTGCTTATCAAGCCTTCACTGCTATGATTTTCACTCAATGGCAATCTCGTATTAAAGTTTTTCGTTCTGATTGTGCCAAAGAGTACCTATCCTCTGCCATGCGCTCTATCATGTCCTCTCATGGGACTATCTTTCAACAGTCATGTCCCTACACTCATGAGCAAAATGGTGTTGCTGAACGCAAACATCGTCATATCCTCGATACTGCCCGATCAATGCTCATTTCTTACTCTGTTCCTCGTCGTTTCTGGGCTGAGGCTATTCTCACCGCGACTCATGCCATTAATATCACTCCATCTAGCTCTCTTTCCGGTGCTACTCCTTATAGTCGTGTTTATACTCATCCTCCCCGTTATGATCTAGTTCGCGTTTTTGGTTGTCGATGTTTTGTTTTTCTGCCATCTCACGAACGTGATAAATTGTCTCCCAGAGCAGTTTCTTGTGTTTATTTAGGAATTAGTTCAGAACATCGAGGTTATCGTTGTTATGATCCCGCAACTCGTCGAGTTCATATATCTCGTCATGTTCAGTTCGAAGAGGATTCTCCATATTATTCTACTTCTGATGACTTTAATTTCCTCCACTCTACCGATCATGCTTCCCCGTCCACTGCATCACCCACTTCTTCACCTCAATTTTCCTTTCGAGATCTCCCTGACATCTCTCCCTCTCCTTCTGTTGACTCTTCCTCACCTGAGTCTTCTCTTACACCATCTAATCCATATCCTGTGGACACAACTCTCACTCCAGAAAATACTGTTGATCTTCATGCACCTGCGCCAGCATCTCCCCCGCCTGAGGTTCCTCTTGCTCTTCGTCGAGGCAAACGCCCACATGTCATGCCTGCCCGGTATGCTTCTGTTACTTCTTATTCACCTATCTTTCATAACTTTCTTGCTGCCATTCATACTATTGTTGAGCCAAAGTCCTTCCAAGAGGCAGTTCAAATTCCAGAGTGGCGACAAGCTATGGCTGAGGAATTTCAAGCATTTCAGCAAACTCATACCTGGGATATTGTTCCCTGTCCTCCTGGGATCTCTCTTGTTGGCAGTAAATGGGTTTATAAGGTCAAGTTTCGTCCTGATGGCACCATTGAACGTCGAAAAGCTCGTTTAGTGGCTAGAGGTTTTACTCAGCAACAAGGTATTGATTATGAGGAGACCTTTGCTCCTGTTGCTCAGATGCCCACTGTGCGTACTCTCCTTGCGGTCGCTGCTGCTCATCGTTGGCCCTTATACCAGATGGATGTCAAAAATGCTTTTCTTCATGGCTCTTTATCAGAGACCGTATATATGCAACCGCCTCCAGGGTCAAATATTCCTCCGGGACATGTATGTCTCCTTCGTCGTGCTGTTTATGGTCTCAAACAGGCACCCCGCGCTTGGTTTGAGTGTTTTCGCGATGTTGTGCTCAAAGCGGGCTTTATAGAAAGTCATCAAGATGCTTCTCTGTTTGTTCGCACTACATCGCGTGGCAGGGTTTTATTACTCATCTATGTAGATGATATGATCATTACAGGTGATGATATGACAGGTATACAATACGCAAAATCTCAGTTGCAACAACAGTTCCACATGAAGGATCTTGGATCTCTTCGGTATTTCCTTGGTCTAGAAATTTCTCAAGGCCCGCGGGGTGTATTACTGTCTCAACAGAAGTATCTCTCAGATATTCTAAATCAAGCTGAGTTAACTGATAATACAACTGTCGATACTCCACTCCAGCAGAATGTCAAACTTTGCTCTACTGACGGTGAGCCTCTATCTGATCCTACCCGATATCGACATCTTGTTGGTCAGTTGGTCTATTTGTGCATCTCTCGACCAGATATCTCTCATGCTGTTGGTATTGTCAGTCAATTTGTTAGTGCCCCACGTTCTGTACACTATGCTGTCTTATTACGGATTCTTCGGTACCTCCGGGGTACTAGCACTCGCTCACTTTTGTTTCCTGCTACATCTAAGTTAGAGCTTTGTGCATATTCTGATGCTGATTGGGCTGGTGATCCAACTACCAGAAAGTCTACCACAGGTTATTGTATATTTCTTGGTGATTCCCTTATTTCCTGGCGAAGTAAGAAACAAGATGTTATTGCTCTTTCCAGTACTGAGGCAGAGTATCGTGCAATGTCCACAACAGCTAAAGAGATTATTCATCTTCGTCGCCTTCTCAGTGATTTCGGTATTTCTGTTACGACTCCTACTCCTCTCTACTGTGATAATAAGAGTGCCATCCAGATTGCTAATAATCCAGTATTTCATGAAAGGACCAAACATATTGAGATCGACGCTCATTTTGTCCGTCACCAAGTTATCAAGGACAAGACAATTCTACTTCCTCATGTTTCATCCGCTGACGAGCTTGCAGATTTCTTCACAAAGGCCTTACCTGTTCATCGGTTCCAGTTTCTTGTACGCAAACTCACTTTGTTTGATCCAACATGAGTTTGAAGGGGGCTGTTGATAATAGTGTATTGTAGTGGGTTTTAGTCCCACATTGCTTGGGAGAACAAACCTCACACTCCTCTACTTGTATAAATATATGTGCACACTCAATATTCAATTCAAGGGAAATTTACCCAAGATTCTCTCTCTCTCTTACTTTAACAAGCACAATGTGACTGAAGCAAATAGCGAAAAGAAAGAAAAGCTATTTTCACCTAGAGTAAGCTCATTTGTTAAAGTAAGCTCTACTTCCTCGTTTGTAGGCCCCTTCTCAATAAAAGTAGCTCTTAGAGAGAGTAGATTGCGCTCTCTGTCCTCAAACGGAAGGCAATTTATGGGAGGTCAAAGAAATGATATAGCTTCTCTTGGCAATGAAATTTCCCAATTAAATGTGAGGTTGGAGGCACTTGAAGAGGATAGAAGCTTTCTTGAGCATGCTGTTAGGTCTCTTAGAAATGGAAGCAGTGGAATACAATTTGTTCAAGAGATAGCTTGTCATCTACGAGAATTACGGAAAATTGGAATTACTACTCCAAGAGCGTAGTGTTACTTGAAGCCTCTTAGATCCATTGATTGGTATATCTTTGCAAAAGGTTCTACCAGCATTCAATTATGCATTTCCTTTTCAAGTTCCATCCTCACAAGATCTCCATGTTATTTAATTTTCAAGGTACGATAAATGTTAATGCAAATATTGATTTCTTTACCTATTTTGGTGTTGTTTAATCTTAATATTGCATAAGTAAAATCCATTATCAAATTCTTATTTATAGATTATGCATTACAAAGGAAAGATCTTTCAGTTAAGAACTAGAACTCTTCGCATTATACTCTGTTCAAAGTACTGTTTCCTTCTCATTTCTTATTAAATTGGGTTTTCGTGCTGCAGTAGTTTTCAAGATTCTTCAATAATGATGCCATTGAAGTTTTTCTCTAAGGTACTAATATTATTTTCCTTGGCAAATAAGAGTCATTGAAGTTGATTGATGAAGGAGGGGACAGTTATACTCAATAAATGTCTCATGGGTTTCTTTCTGCCATCAGGGTGTACCTTCAATATTTCCATTTTCCAGGTTGTGGATCATCTTAAGCAATATGAGATTATTAAGCATAATATTTTTGTCACTCAACTAAAATATGTATTTCATTGTAATCCATCAAGATGACCTTTAATATCATCTGATGATAATTACTTAATTAGTATATGTATCATGGACATATTAAATGCAATGATTTAAATAACCATAATTTACTTACTTAGAACTTAGATGTAAGCACTATGAAAATGTCCTCTTTCTCATTCTGTCATCCACGTCAACTATGTGTTGTTCTAAGACAGCAAAATAAATTGTGTCAAAATATTAGAAACCTTGATATCGCTTCTGAGCAAACAAAGGTACCATAGGATCATTACATTTGACAATGATCATGAGAATTGGCTGTTTTACAAGTTCTTTCGAGCCCTGCAGGTTGATTGCTACGTTTTTCAGGATGATATTCTTAATTTAGCCTTTTCTTATAATTAACTTTTTCCCCTTATCATGTAGGACATTTATATGACACTGATATTACAATAAATCACAGCCATATTCTTGAATTTGACTCAAGGTTCTAGTCTTTGACACTCTTATTTTTTTCATCTTCAGTGCTTAAATCCACAATACAAAGTAATCCGATAACAATGTGCGATGCAGTTAGTCACAAAATAGGAATTTATTGGTAAATTCACTTTAACTACATATTTTCAGGTTTCAATCAAAAGACATTCCAGCTCAGTCTCGGTGTTGAGTTCCTGTGATGGTCTGTATAAACTCACAAAAAGTGGAGACACTCGCAGTTATCTGTTTCATATTGTGGGCGTGGCATTATAATTTCATGTTTCCCTTGCTTTAGATGATTCAGTGCCGTACTTCATATGGTGTTATACACGTTTGGTGACAAGAGTCTCATGAGTTGTAAAAACCAGCAGTCTGTAGATCACATTGACAGGTTAGATTACTTTTTTTAGGTTGAGCTGAAGCTTATCAAGTTGATTCATTGTACATTTCTAGATAACAGATTTAAGCTCAAAACATTCGAAATTTCCTCTTTGTAATCTTATCTATGCTGTTTTTTCCCATCTCCAGAGACTTTATTGGTTGATACTCGTTTCTGAAGATAAAGAGTCTTTCTTGAAAATGATCTTCTTTAACCATTGATCTTTACAATCAGATCTCTTTAGAATGATTCAATTATTTTTTTCCTTCATGCCATTTATTCATTAAAAAAATTCTGGTAGTTAGATCATGTATCCTCTATGAAAAGGTTATTTCCTCTTCATTTTCTAGCACCATGAATAAAAGTGATGGGCAATTATCAATTTTACCTTTCTTACAAACACTATAACATTTTGCTTATGGGGGAGGCAATGTGTTCCACTGCAAACTTTAAGAAGATAATGTTGGATCAGCACTAAGTACTTTATATACATTTATAATTGTTGGTTTCTAAGCTAAAATATGTGCTTGCAGATAAATTTGGTTACTGATAACTGAAAGAAGTTCAGGATTCTAACCCAATGGAAAATTTTGAATATTTCACAGTATTAAAGTTTTCATGTCAAAAGTTTGCTTAGAGATGCAGAGAATCTACTGATAAAAAAACTTTGTAGCCGGTTCATCTTGTTTAAGCTTCAATAGTAGCTGGACAGATATTGTAAATTATCTCAGTCAGACATCTTTTGAGTTTTCATGACTATATCCCAAGTGGGAGGAGAATAAAGGCTTATTCATGTATTCTGGAATTCAAATAGATGTTAAGTTATATAACTTTGACAAGCATGTGTGTTAAAAATCCGAGAAGCAAATGCTGCAAGCTTGCATGCAGCCTGTGAATACCACAACCAGCCTCAGAATTTCTCAAATTCAAGCATTCATTCAAGAAAACAGGAGAAGCTGTTAGCGATGCAACAGACTGTAAGTAGCTGAACCAAGAGCCAAAAGGCCTTGCGTATTTGTTATATGTGTATGTTTTCTTCGTGGGGGCATTTGCAGGGTTATATGATGTAGCTACTTAACATGTCATTCTACTTTATTAGCATGTACATCCTTTCTCATCATGATGGTGTGTTTTACTGTTAGCTTTTCACTTCTGACACGTGATGATCAGAATTAGATATGCGACCATTGCCACAAAATTCCCATGAGCTTAAAAAAGAAAGCCATTCTCACATGTGGTAATTAAATAGAACACAATGGTAAGTAGTGACACCCCTCTACTACAAGGGATGCATCTGCAAATAAAGTTTTTGTTGTCTATATTATATTTTTGAAAACAATCGAACATTAATAACTTGTTTGATCTTGCGCACTTAGACAAGGAATGCAAAAGGAAACAAAGATGACCGGCGCTCTTAGGGTGCGAGGCGAATTTGGCAGTTGTCAGAATCGAGGCTCAAAATCACAGCGTGGAAGCCATCGTGGTGCATGACGGTGATTTCGTCATATCGGACTTCCATTGCAATTGGGTGTGGGTTTGGGGTGAAGGACAATAATGTAGTCGCCAAAGTTCCTCGAGTTGGATAGATTGTGGTGATCAGTTGTTATTAGTTAATGAAGAAATGAGTGAACTGGTAGAAGTGGTATAAATGTTATGGGATGTTATTGTGCATGCGCGGGATTAATATCTTGCAAGCTTTA